CCTCTGTTTTAGTCGGGCTTTAAAGCTGCTCCGATGCTCTGAGTAGGTTAACGAAGCAACAGATATAAACCTGGAATCTTATTTCAGTCGACTATCGCGCGAGCTTTGATACTGAACCAAGCTACTAATGCAAGTGATCCGAATGCACAGAAGACGGTGAGGATCGGGGCTGTTGAAAATGAAGTAGGTTATTCGTAAAAGGTTTATATCAAAGGCACCGTTGAGGATTGCCGCGAGAGCGTGGTCAAGGAACGATGTTGTCGGCTGACCCCTCCTCTTCTTATCTGCGTCAGAAGGCAGTGAGAGGAGGTGCACACCAATGGTGTCGTTTCCTGGCTCCGCCCGCAGGGAAATCCCAACGGTGGCTTGAAAGAACTTATCAATTCTTCAAGATGTTCTCACTCAAGAAAGATTTTCTTCAGAAAAAGCCTGGCCGAATATCAGATGGAGTCAATGGCAGCCAAGGTCAGAGTCGTGCTACGTGCATAGTACGTAAACTATCATTTTACACAATTCTTCTTGATTTTAATAGTTTTTGAATAACTTCTTATTTTTTCACGTTTTAAAAATGTTTCAGTGTATACCCGTAAGGTTGCTGGACACGTGCAATACATTCCCCCAGTCGAGTTCGATGGTAAGTGCAATTGATAAATATTGATTTCCGTCTCGAACCGTTTTTTTAATCTTTCTCAGAAACATTGGCTCCAAGTGTTCGGTTATTCAGCGCTGTTGGCTCAGAGGGGCATTTTGCACGTTTGCTAGTTTTTTTTTGTTAATTCATGTAAGATAACATCCCAGATCGGTGAGACCTATGAACTCATGTGAAGCTAGGAAATGGTGCGAGTAAGCTACTCTGGTCGCAGAAACTTACAGGCAGGGTGCAGCATCGTGATGTGTGAAATGGTGGTGTAGGTACGACCCCCCCCCCCACCTCGAGAGAGGGTGTCAGTGGGCCCTTCCCACCTGAATGAGGGTCTCGGTACGACCCTCTCAGCCCCCCCCCCTTCCCCAACGCCTGCCTACCACTTTCCCCACATTCTCCAGTTTTTCACCCAAAGATTTTCCGTCGAGTGGGTGTATATAGCCAATG